GGTCGCTGGTCTGCCATGCACACAGTCCCACACGGTACTTGCTTGACTGGACTGCGACTGACTGGGACCGGTACCGCTGACTACACGAGGTTGCACTGTCAGGCAGTCGCACTGCGGACTCGACGCAGTTGGACTTACGACTTACCTACAGACCTCTAGCCTAGCAGTTTCGAATTCTACACAATTGTGACCTCTACTTGACAGATCTACAGATCGGATCCCTACAACGACAGGGACCTACGACAAAGAACAGTCACTACTAAAACACAGGTCGCGGGTTCAAAACACACAGGGATCTACTCGATACTGTACACGGGTGCAGGTAAGGTCTAGGGATCAAACCCTGGGATCTGCATCAGCTTCTGCAAAGGTGAAAACCATTTCTCTCCCGCTGGCCTAAATTCGAGGTCCTTTGAGAATACTTCAGTCCAAGGCAGAACCTTTACCCTTCTTATCTCTCTCATAGGCTCGGACTATATTGGGAGCTGTCTCTAGAAGTTCTGTTCTAGTGAACCAGCGGTCATCTTCAGGTTCTTGCTAAGAGAATCTGACTTTGTACTGTTTCTGTGGACGACCTCTACCTCCTGTTCTGAAGACATCCTCACCTACTATGCCATCAATGTCGTACCTCCCATCCATATCCGGAGGAATCATAGACCTTCGTGATGGGAGCCATTGACTCGTAGTACAAGGCAAGAACTTCAATGCATGGAAAACTTGGTAGGTGTGGAGGTGTGCTGGAATCTCTATCGTGTAGGATGGTCCATCCTCTCCACCCTTGACTTCTAGGACTGGCCACGGTCCTCTATAAGCAGGTAACAACCTTTGTGAGATATTCTCCTCAGGAGCAAATTCTTTTGACTTGACCCGGACTAAGTCGCCGACTTGGAACTGTGAAGGGCGACGATGTTTGTTGGCTTGTTCTATCATTCTGTGCTGGGCCTTTCTAAGGTTCTCAACCACTGTAGCAATCTCTTTCTCATGTTGTATCGCAAATTCCTTGGTACCGAGCGGTAGCCTCTGAATCTGATCCCGGTTAAGTCCTTCAAACGGTCTGCGTGGTTTAAAAGACTTGTGTAGCTCATTGGGAGTGCGACAAGCGGCTAAGTGCACGCTATTGTTGTACGAACTGGCTACCTTTGGGAGCATCTCATCCTAGTCTAGTTGGTCAGGTCTAATGTACATTCTCAGAACTTGTTGTAGGACTTTGTTCATCTGTTCGGTCTGTCCGTTGGTCTATGGCCAGACGACATTAACAGTTTTGATCCGTAGACTTTCATTAATTCTTGCTAGTTCTGACTAATGAACTGGGTGTCCTTGTCACTAACTATAGACAATGGTAGCCCATGTTCACTGACCCAATGGTCGAAAAACTTTCGTATCACGAACTCTACACGTGCCTCAGAGGGCAAAGGAACAAAAATGGCGTACTTGCTAAACCTATCTACTACGACCATGACTTGACTCTTGCCATGTCTACTTTTGACACCAGCGTCCATGAAATCTATAGACACTGAATCTTCGGGTCCTTCGGGGATAGGCAATGGTCTGAGAAGACCTAGAGGGGCTCGCGTAGTAGTTTTATTCCTTTGACATACTTTGCCACTGCGTACGTATTCTATGCAACTGCATACGTAATCTATGCAGTCGGCCTGCATACCAGGCCAGGTATACGCACGCATGAGGTTGGCTAATGTCTTCTGCCAACCAAAATGCCCCTCCGTATCATGGCATTCCCCTAAGATCAAACTTCACATCTCTTCGCTATTGGGAACGCATAAGAGTCTACAACATTAGTCTTCTCAAATAAGAAGTCGTTTGTAGTGCGGTAATTTGGTTCTGATTTTGGTGCCTCCTTAACTCTCTTGAGGAGGTCGCTATAGATAGGGCTCTCTTGCAGGCCTCTCCCTATATCCAAATAGTGCACTATCGCTCCAAAATGGTCTAATCTCCTACTCAGAGCGTCTGCAACTACATTGTAGTTCCCCTTAACTGGCTTGAGCTCAAAATCATGCCGATCTATCTCTGCGGCCCACCTAGTTAGCTTTGGTATCATCTTAGCCTCTGTTTTCAGCCACCGTAGTGTCTCGTGGTCTGAATACACTTTTAAGTGCCTCCCAAGCAAGTAATGCTTCCAGTGGTCTAACGCTTGCCTGAGAGCGTAGAGTTCCCTCTCGTAGGTGGATTCCGCTACCTTTTCTGAAGGCATTCTAGCAGACATAAACTCTACGGGATATCGCTACCTTTTCTGAAGGCATTCTAGCAGACATGAACTCTACGGGTCTGTATCCATTACCATCGGCTTGCTGTAGAACAACACCTATGCCATATTGACTTGCATCAGTGGTGACGACGAATGGCAATGATGGATCGGCTACCTTAAGGACAGGGCACTCTATTAAGGTCCGCTTTAACTTCTTCAAGGCCGCTGTACAGTCTTTATCCCACTTCCAAATTGCCTCTTTCTTTAGCAACCTGCGAAGGGGAGCAGCGACGGTGGTGGAGTTCCTAACGAATTTTCTATAATAGTTTGCCAATCCTAAGAACGACCGCAACTCTGTCAGCGTGCGGGGAATCGGGCAACCTCTAATCGCTGCTATCTTACTGTCCTCAAGCTTTATGCCATCTCCATCTAGGACGTGGCCCAAGTATAAAACCTGTGTCTTGGCCCACTCGCACTTCTTCGCATTGATCTTGAAGTTAGCTTCTCTCAGCTTCCCCAAGACCTGCCTTAGATGGCCTTCATGCTCCTAGAGGGTCTTACTAAATACTAAGATGTCATCTAGATATACAACTACAAATCTATCGAACCACGGCCTAAACAAGTCATTCATACAGCGCTGAAACGTAGTTGGCGCGTTGGTTAGTCCAAAGGGCATCACTATAAACTCATAGTGCCCATATCTGGTCTTGAACGCAATCTTGTGCTGATCATCAGGATGGACCTCTATCTGATGATAGCTTGACTTCAAATCTATCTTAGAGAAGAATCTGCAGCCCTGCACTCGATCCAACAGATCATCTATTTGAGGCAGTGGTTTTGCGTTCTTCAGGGTGATGGCATTGAGACCCCTATAGTCTATACACATTCTCAACTCTCTCTCCTTTTTGGGGCAAACAGAACAGGCGCTCCAAACGGAAACGAACTGGGCCTAATCCAACCCTTCTCAAGGAGCTCGTCTAACTGCTTTCGCAGCTCCTCGAACTCCCTTGGGGACATCTTATACACCGCTCCTTTGGGAGTTCTACTGCCAGGTTCTATCTCAATTCGATGTTGGATCAGCCATTGTACTACTCCTGTAGGCGGCTCAGACAGATCTGCATACTCCTCCAGCAACTTGGCAATATGAGGGTCTATGAACTCTTTGGTCTTAGGCTCAGTGATAGGCCTAACTTAGGCAACAAACACATGAAACAGGCGGGCAGCTAGGGAGCCTACACTCATGCTCTCTCAAATGAAGTGTGGCCCCTGCTTTCTCTCCCCAATCCATTCCTAGGACTACATCAAACGGAGGTTGTCTTCGACGAAGAGAGTCAGGGAATGGAGAACTTTTTCTACCTTCCCATCTTTCTCTAGGCAGAAATAAGCCTGGACTCCCTCGACGGAATCCTCGACTTGCATTGTGCGGTTGTCTACGAGGATGCTAACTATAGGTTCCTCTTAACTTTCGAACCTTTAGGTTCAGCTTCGGCTTCTGTAGCGCTTTACTACTAATATAACTACGGGTAGCCCCATTGTTTATAAGGGCCCCTACTCTGCCTCTAAAAATCTCTACATCTACTAGTACTAGCTGTCCTTTTTCATCCTTCTTCATCTTGGCCCAGGCAGGCATCCTCTCCTTCAATTCTTCTGCCATGCCTGTGAGGGAAGTGCCTAGAGAGACTGGCCAGCAACCTCTGCCATAGACACATGTGGGTTGGGAGATTCTCTATGGTGCACGCACTCTTCTCCACATAACCTCTGCCATAGACACATGCGGGTTGGGAGATTTTTTATGGTGCACGCACTCTTCTCCGCATGGTCTAGGGGTAAGGGCAGTTGTGACCCCTACCAGCGGTTGCCTTTTGCTGCCTGTGCAGACTTTGGGCATTATTTGATAATGTGGCCTGGATCACCTCAGTAAATGCATTGATCCTGGTCTATCCTTTTCTGCCATACTTTTTGTTCGAGACCAAGATCTTCCCAATGCCTTGTGGCAAGCCAGGGTGTCGTCCACCCCTCCTATAAGGTGACCGATTGGAACGTGGACGGCTTTGCGGGGCACCTTGACCCCTGCCTCCCTCTTGGCGGTTTCCCCTGCCGCCAACCCCCTGATCATCCTGTCCTCGACCACTTGAGACCCGGCCCCCTTGGCCCCGGCTTCCTCTTCTTCCTTGCAGCCTCCCTCCAGCCGCGACAGCAGCATAGGACCTCCCCTGCCCTACACTTTTGTCCTCCTCCTCGAGGCCCCACTCTATCTTACTATACGGGACCTCCTCCATTCCTCCTTCGTCCAAAGTCAGGATCAAGCTATCTTTCCCCTTAACCTGCCCTCAAATGGTTCGGCCCTTCCACTTCTTGCCCTTCTCAAAATCTATGTGCCAAAAGGCTTTCACTGGCGTGGCCTGGGCCTCATATGCAACAACGTCGTGACTTAACTTATCATAAGTCATACCCTGTTCTCGCGACTTGTCATAGAAGTGTTCGTGCAAACTTTCGGGCATCGCACGATAAAATAACTGAACCAGTTGTGACTCAGTGACCCCGTGATTTGGGACCGCTACAAGCTCATCCATGGGCCCCTTGAGTGCCCTTGCACTCTTCCACTGTCGTGTGTGAAGCTTCAATGCCCTTAGTCACACCCGCAAAACGTTCGCGAAGTAACTTTTGGAATTCGTTGAGGGGAGAGATGGTGGAATATGCCACCATATCATTATCACACTTCGCGGCACGAGCTAACGACTTGGCGAAGCTAGACGCTTAGTCTCTAAGTGCATGGAATGCAACTAGAACTTGTTACTCAGGAATAATATCCTGGAGGTGCACGTAGGAATTGATATTGGCTTCCCAATTATCAAAGTCTTCCCCCTGTTTCCCGTTGTAGGCGTCAGGAAACTTTACCTTTACTCGTTCCCTACGCGGGCGTGCCTCCTCCTCCTTTGGGACTGCAAGCTTGGCGCCCTCTATGGCGCCAACACAGAATTGTTTTGCGTTCTTCATACGAGCCTGCATTTCAGAGCCCATCCGCATCATCATATCGTCGGCAAAGTCTCTAAAGCCTACACGGATAGACTGTACGGCTATGTCACGGCCACTCGAGAAATGCATTTGTTCCTGTTGGACGCGAATAAGCACATCTACACTTTTTGCAATCGCATCCACCTTGCTCTGCAAGTCCCCTTGTGTCAACGCATTAGAATGTTGTTCTGCTACGGCAGCCAATTCTTTCTCTAACTCGGTGGCCGCCGCTACGTGCCTCGTTCTCTGCCTCCTTAGTCGCAGTTTCCATTCCATTCTTTTTTTCTCTTCTAGGGCCTGTTGCTCTAACGGGTCAGTCAGGACCTTTATCTCTGCCACAACAGCATCCCTCTCATCCTGGGGGATGTACATCAATGCTTCCTCATTTTCCCCTAGGGATAAGTTAGCCACCCACTCCGTCACCATCTTCTCCAGTTTCTTCTCATCTTCACTAGCCCCACTGGATTCCCCTCTTTCCTCTCTCCTCACAGGTGTTACATGCTCCGCCTACACACGAGGGCCATTTTCCAGGCCTTGCGTCCCTCGAGCTGAAAGCCTGAAATTCAGGCTGAAAGACTGAAAACCAAGGCCTACAGGCCCCGTGTCTGTTCAGCTTGAAAGCCTGGAAAACAGGGGCCTACAGACCCTGTGTCGTTTCAGACTAAAAATGGCAGTAGCCTTTTTAGCCTGAAACGAAGGGCCATTTTCGATCTTTCATCAGACCGACCTGCCCTGAAACTCAGGCACCAAACCAGGGTTTTAGGAACAGGCTATTTTTGGCCTGTTCCCACGACAGCTGCAGCGCCAGACCCTGGCTCAGTTTGGCATTGGCAAGAGCAGCCTCCTGGACTGCCCGCCCTGCRACTGCAGGCAGTCGGAGGCAGTCAGGAGGCAGGCCGAGGTAGTACATAGGGACTTCCCATGCACTTCACGGGGAGGCAGGAGGCAGTCAGTAGTCTTCAGGATTCGGCAGCAGCACTCTGAAGGAGCGCTGCAGGAGTAGTAGCAGCGTTAGCAGTAGTCTTCAGCGTTGGGCACTAGTAGCGTTAGCTGTAGTCTTCAGCGTTGGGCGCCATAGCAGCTAGAGTAGTACTAGAGAAAGAGAGAGAGATTGGGCGGAGGCCAGAGGGACTTGCCTGCAGCTCCATTGCTCCAGCTTCGTCTTCGAGGTACCTGCAGCACAATGCCATCTTCATAGGTTAGTACCTGGCACATGAGAGAGGGAGTTCTTCTTCTTCCTCTGCTTAGTCCACCATCTCCTTCTCACCCTCTCGCTATCTGACTTCACATCAGCAGACTACGAGGGAGAGAGAGAGAGCTTGGTGACATTTGGATCCAAACTCGACAATGGACTTCAGACATTTTGAAAAGGGATTATTTGGACTTGTAACGAGACTTGGTGTTGACGACTTTCCCATCTCCCCCTTCCTCTTCTTCGTCTGATCCCCTCCTCTTCGTTTGTGTATGTCTGGACCTGGCGCCTCTTTTCTGTGTATGGCGCCAGGCCCCTTCACACCTTGTGATGAGCATGAGGTATGTTTGGTTTGCGTTGAAACATTGATTGGGCTAGTCATTAGTATTCTAGCATTCCGCTTCGCTATCTTGTACTACGTGAAAGAGGTCAGTCCCGGTCAGGTCAGGACTTGTATCTAAAGTCTTCCCTGCGCTATAAAGCACCATGTTGTATGTATCAGAATGCACATTGCTTGTTGAGATTCCACTTACACTGCATTGTCCATTCAGTCCTTTTTATCACATTGCGGATCCTCGGTTTATATGTACATCGCCCACCTGGGCATGTAACACAGTCCTCCTTAGGGGTATTTCATCTTCTTCTTCTTCTTCTACTTCTTTCAGCTTCTTCTCCTCTCTTCGTCCCTTCTCTCTCTTCTTTATACTTCTTCTCTGTGTTCGAGCTCGACGGATATGGACGCCACCGCACAACAATCTTGTACCTCTCCTCTCTCTCTCTCTCTCTCTCTCTCTCTCTCTCTCGCGCGCGCGCGCGCTCGCTCTTCGTCGTTGTCTTCTGTGCAGGTTCATGGCACCCTCCTTCGGCGCGGCTATGGTGGACCACCCTCCTTCGTTGGCGCAGCTACAGCTATGGCGCCTGGCTATTAACAACGGCAATGGCGCGTGGAGTAACGGGGACCAGCTCCGATACCAATGCAATCAGACTCTCTTTCTTCTTCGCTTCACATACATGCAAACAAATGGCGATTCACACTGGCGCACAACGCCCACTCAAAACTCGGAGATATGGAAATCGAGAACACAGTTTGGATGCAGACTTGCTTCGACAGGCTATGGCGCATCAGCGCCTGTACATCCCAACTCTTGATATTGTTCCAACACCACTGTTCGCACTCACTCAATTCTGGATCACCCTGAATAGCCCACACACGTACACATACTAACACCTCTCTTCTACCTACAGCAGCTATGGCCGCTCAACTACTGACTATGGCTATGCTGTCTTCTTCCAGCCCACTTCGACTTCGGGCTCCCTGCAGACCACCTCGCACAAGACCCTAGGGCAGCACTTCCGCATGGCTTATGCAGCGAATGAATGAAATGTTGAACACTGCCTCTTGATTTATACTTCTGTTGGTCCCTGGTCTGCCGCTTTCCTCCAGGCCCTTGGTGCACACAGTCCCACACAGTACTTGCTTGACTGGACTGCGACTGACTGGGACCGGTACCGCTGACTGCACGGGGTTGCACTGCCGACTTGAGGCAGTCGCACTGCGGACTGGACGCAGTTGGACTTACGACTTACCTACAGACCTCTGGCCTAGCGGTTTCGAATTCTACACAACTGTGACCTCTACTTGACAGATCTACAGATCGGATCCCTACAACTACAGGGACCTACGACAAAGAACAGTCACTACTAAAACACAGGTCGCGGGTTCAAAACACACAGGGGTCTACTCGATACTGTACACGGGTGCAGGTAAGGTCTAGGGATCAAACCCTGGGATCTGCATCAGCTTCTGCAAAGGTGAAAACCGTTTCAGTGGAATGCTTCTGACTAGTATTGCAGTTAGATTCTGGATGTCGTTTTTTTCTGCTTTTGTTTTTTTTTTTCATTTTTCTTAGATTCCCCTGCCAGAGAGGCAGGGCATATCCCGTGATCTACTGAACAGCCCTCGTTGAGGGCATACTCACACTTACACACAGACAAATGTATCTAACTAAGTTCAGTGCCAAAACAGCCCTCGTTGAGGGCATACTCACACTTACACACAGACAAATGTATCTAACTAAGTTCAGTGCCAAATTCATGTTTCTTTTTTTTTTTTTTTTTTTTGAGATTGGTTTCTTCGTTTCTTTTTTCCTTATTTTACTTTTGGATTCTGACAAAAACGCCACGCGGCTGATAGACCCAAACTGCGACGTGCTCACACTAGCACTCGGGAGAATGCATCCATCTGCATTCACGACCCCAGCATTGTTGTTGTTTTTTTTTTTTGCTGTTTTTGGTTTCCAACTGGTCCCCCCAGCCTTGGCCCGTCCAGCTACTGGTACTGCCAGGCTTGGCAGGCTCAACATACCGGTCGCTCGAGGCTCGGACTTGATAGCGGGGCCAAGTACTGGTGGCTTAATGAATCTCCCAAAAGGACAAAAATTCTAGAAATGGACACTCTGAAAAAAACGAAAATTAGGAAAAAACTCTGACAAGAGAGCAGGTCAGCCATTGAAAAGAAAAGAAAAAGAAAGAAAGAAACAGGCCGCCCATTTTACAAAGCATGGTGCAAACTTCGAAGTCCTGTCCTGATGCGAAAAATAAAACTGGAGAGAAATGGACACTCTGAAGTCCTGTCCTCGCTCCACTACTCACCACATGCACAAAAGACAAAAAATATGGCAATGTATCTTCCAATGTTGTAGCAGCATGTTGTCGCCGCATGTATAGCGTGACCCTGTATCCTCCCATGTTCTACCAGAAGATTCATTCTCATTTTCCACATTTGGCAACTTGAGGAACGAGGCCCTTACTAAAACCAGACCGACTACAATACAATGTTCCCCCTGAGTAGAGCGCACAGGCATTATACAATTTATACCTGATTTGTACACACAGTTATGCACAGAGTTAAAAATACAAATAGATAAAAGTCTGACGAGAAAACAGGCCAGTCATTCGGGGGGGAAAAAGAAGCCCGAAAAACCCAAACATAGCCTGGCCATTGTGCAGCACAAGGAGCAAAGTCCCGTCCTGACACACGAAAGAAGAACGAGAAAATATGTGAATTTAAATAAATAAATTACTAAAAACAGATCTACCATAATACTCCAACCACTACACAGCCAGGAGCTTCTGGGTCTGTAGAAAAGACCTGCAGCCTTTCAGCCTGTAAGCTAAGCTAGATAATGCTTCCAGATACCTGTTTGACCCAGGGGCGTATTGTAGAGGACCCCGGCGGGCCCAGCCTCCGATCGAGTAAGGAATGGAAATTTGAACGAGAAAAAAAAATAATAATAATAAAAAATCTCACCACTGCAATGCACATGTGACACTGATTTTATGCACAGAGTTAGACCACCAGTCTATGGCACCCTTCCTGTCTCTTATACACATCTAGATGTGTATAAGAGACAGGTTTGACCCAGGGGCGTATTGTAGAGGACCCCGGCGGGCCCAGCCTCCGATCGAGTAAGGAATGGAAATTTGAACGAGAAAAAAAAATAATAATAATAAAAAATCTCACCACTGCAATGCACATGTGACACTGATTTTATGCACAGAGTTAGACCACCAGTCTATGGCACCCTTCTGTGCACCTCTGACAGTTCTTTTTTTTTTTTCATTATAAATTTACGAATGAACTTAACAAGGCACAAGCAGGCCAGTAAATCCAAAGCACACAATCCCTCTTGCTAACAGGTGCCCTTCGCCTCAATACCCATGGTTTAAGCCACCAGTATGTTTCCCGGCCATTTTTTCAGAGTCGCGGTGTGCTGCCTGCATCTGCGACTCTCTACTGGAGCGCCGTTTCGCAGCACATTCATCCAGGCAAAACGCGTGACATGCGAGGCCCATTTTGCCTGGATGGATATTCAGCGAAACAGCACCCCGGAACTTCCCAAGAATCGCGGCTGAATGCATGCCGCGACTCTGACAAAATGGCAGGGAAACATACTGGTCGTTTAAACCACCAGTACCTTTCCCTGCTTGGAAAACAAATGCGCGTCGGTGAACACGGGTGTCGGGGAAGGCCTGGTAGTGCAACAGGGGACAAAGCCTGTGGGCCCAAGCATAAAGGGCAAATGGAACGCTCTTTTCTTCCTGGCTCATCTGCACAAGTGGAAACACTGGCGCGGACAGAACTACAGGCACAATGACAAAGAGGTGGAAAAAAAAGCTGGGAAAAAAAAGAAAGCGAAAAAACAATAGGTGCTCTGCCAGATGGAAAAACGTCAGAGCTCGCCCGTTGAAAGAGGTGCCTGCCACGTTTCTGGAGACGGCAGGTCTCCGGGAAAACGAGGCAGGCACCT